ATAATAATAATAATAATAGTAATAATAATAATAATAATAATAATAATGTCTAAATATCTGTATCTACATAAAATTGTGAACTTTATGCACTAAGTATGTGAGCCACTCTGGGTCAATCGCCTTGGGATGCAGAGGCTTTTCCCAACCAGTCAAACAGATTCCACAGGACTGCCATTGAGCTCCCTAGATGACCTGAGAAATGGTACTTGTGTCTCAGTTGCTCCAAGTACTTTTGCTTGCTGTTACTCAGAAATTTTTTAACAGTCTATAGCTTCTCCATATCTCACAAAAGTGTTGTTGAATGAGATCTTTGTTCTGTTTTGCTTTATTTTAAATAAGCTTTCAATATGTTACAGCTGTTACGATTTAAGGTAGGAATGCTATACTCAATGTGTACCATTTTTCAGACAGACATTTATTCAAATGCTGTTTATACTGACATTGTAATGGATATAATTGGCAAAGTTGTGTAACTGATCTCAGTACAATTAAGAAGAAGCATCAAGTATAAGGTGAGAGAGATTCATAGAGAATAGTTTTTAAAGGACAGTGTAGTTACTTATAAAGCAATATTTTACAAACAGAAGAATTCTAAAAATGCAACTTGTCAAACATCCATATGCTTTTTATTTCTTAAGATTGACCTTTTCTTCTTCAATATCTATTTTTTATTTTCTTTAGATGCACCTGTATGTTCAAATGTACCTTGTACCTCCTAGGAAAAAAGTACCACAGTACTTTTTCTCATAGCTAATGGCCTAGCACTTTAAATAAATATTTTAAGGTGACACCTTTCCTGATTGTAACTGGTCAAAGATAACAAAAAGCATTTATTTCCTCTGGAAACAAATATACTTGTTCCTTTCGTGACTAATAAAAGATAAAACATAACTATAACCATGTAATAGGCTTTGTCCTTCTTTCTGTAGGCAGATATATAAACATACCCATATTTTATTTCTCTATACCTGTATTTCATATGTTTATTAAAATAATATTATTTTTGGATTATAACAGGGTTAAGATTAATTTATCAAAGACTTCAGATTAACCTTAGTGTTTCCATAGTATCCTCTCCAGAGCATATCTCTGTTTAAGTTTCTTTGTAAGTTCAGGTTCTGAAAGTAAGTTCTGAAATAATTGTGTAAAGGTGAATTTTATTCAGCAAATGGTGCCTTTTTCTATGTGCTATGAGTCACAATTGATTATGACAGGAATGAAAAACCAGTTGTTGCTAACTACATTAGACTAAAAGGCTAATGAAGTTCTAGGTAAACACAGATTCTGCTCTTTCAAGTATCGAAAAGCTATTACTCAATTTATAACTCCTAATTCTTACTTCCTGGTGATGCGTGAACAAAAAATCTAGGCTGACAGATTTTGCCAGACAAAACTTCCTTGTCTGGCAGTTAGAAACTTTAGCTCTTATTTTATTTTGTAACTTGTGTGAAATGCTAGAGACAATATACC